AAAAGGAGTGGGGAGAGAACCGAACCCTGCAGCACCCCACAAAGGAGGGGCCGAGGATGGGACCTCTCGCTCCCTATCACCACCGATTGGGATCAACCCTGAAGAAAGGAGGTGAATTAGCACAAGACCATGCTGCCCACCCCCAATTCCCTGAGTCATCCCAACAGGATACCATGGTCGACGGTATCAAAAGCCGCTGAGAGATCAAGGAGAGCAAGGATGGTCGCACTTCCACCAACCCGCTCCCGGATTGTATAGCCTCCCTTGTACACAGCCTCCTCTACATTGTATTGTATAGTCTCCATTGTATTGTATATGTATTGTATAGCCTCCATTAGGCTATACAGTACATAGGCCAATGTATAGGCTACAATAGATAGGCTACATGTATATTAGGCTACAATACATACTCCATTAGGCTATACATATACAAAACAAGATAATTTAAATCTTGGTGTATTTGAAAATAAATTTCTCTCTGTATGTACCTTTGTTGCCTTTCAGTTAGAAATGGTACTCAACATGGTTAATAATTTAAGTTAAAAAACTAAAAATATAATTAAAAACAATGCACACAAGTTAATATCTACCTCAACAAAAAAGCCAGGTTCCATTCTAAAAGATTGCTCAGCTAAATATTGTCTATCAATGGAACAATAAAAGGGAGTTAGCTAGTTTGACATTCCTGGCAACTGATAGCCTCAGAGCAGTCATCCCAAAGCACTAAAGACTTGGGTGTGCTCCAGGGCCTGGGGTCAGGAAGTTAGGTGGACCATTTGAGTGGTTTCTGTTTATTGCTTTGTTGGGTGACCATGTTTCATTTTTATTTTGCTAAAGTTGTTTTTTATTGCTTTAATGTGTTGTTAGCCCCCCAGAGTTACATTTGTGAAGCATGCAGCTGAATAAATCAATTTAATAAATAAAAATAAATAAATAATGAACCCCACACTCTACTATCTTGTATTACTGTCAGATAAGTCTTCTATGGTAGTTGAACTAAATGGGCTTCTCTTGAAGATTTTAAAGCTCAGGTGAGCTTTTCAAAGAGAAAGTTAATGGCAACCTGCCAGTTGCTGAAGTGGAACACCTGGATACTCCCTAAATATCTGACTTTTTTTCCTTTACTGGCCTACTTTTGTGGTGTTGATATTTATCTGATGGGCAAAATTCAGCAGGATATGGAAAATCTACTTTCCATATTTTCCAGTACAAAAATATTTGTGCAGGGACAAGAAATTGGAAAACCTGCAGGAGTTCAATAAGAACTGAGTAATATTATTGGCCATGAAATGACAAGCAACTATAGGGGCAGTGAGTACAAAAGAGGGGGAAGGACATGAAATATAGTATGTTTAAAAAGACATTGCTGACACTATACAAATATTTTGTGACAAGCCCTACTAGTTTTTAAGAAAACCCACTTCTCTGCCGTTTCTGGACCTATGCAACAAATCTGATCTTTGATTGGTGCTTCACTACTAAAAGTCTAATGAAAATCCTAACAGTTGACACCAGTGACTAAACACTGCTGGTAAAAGAGTCACTTTGTGTGAGATGGGCAGCTATATAAATACAATAAATAAATAAAATGACTCTCAAGGGCAGGAGCAAAATAGTGTGTTACATTTGGAAAGCCTATTCCATCTCCATCTTATAGAAAAGCCATGACTGAGCTTTAGGCCCTGTTTGCCAGCGATTGCCTTGCTACTGGGCATAACTGCAAAATGGTGATACAGAGTCAGGTTTGGACTTTAGATGTTGAGTCTTGAATTAATGTGTCTGATCAGCTATGAAAGCCACCAAGGATACACTGGGGATTCCATTTACTTGGGAATAAGTTTCAGTAAGTGTAATTACTGACTGTATTAAAAGGCATTGGCCATTTCCTCACTAGTGATTTGTAGTGTCTTATAGCATCCGCCGGCCTTCACTATTTTTGTCACTGTTCCACCAGCACAGCAATGGTTACATGACACTATAAAAAATAAAGGTAAAGCCTCCTTCCAGTTGTGCTCAAATCCTGATGACTTCATGGAGGGACCCATGCAGTTTTCTTGGCAACAAGGCAGAAGTGGTTGGATGCTTAAAAGAAAGCCAAGAGATGTTCAGTATTTATTTTTAGAAGAAGCACTTATTTGCAAAAAGAGCCATGAAACACAGAGAACTGATTTTTTTCTAGGAAAACAGAACATCGGAGAATTTACCTACATTACAGTTCCCACATCACCGCCGCTATAGGTTGACAGCTTTTATTTGCATTTATTTTACTGGGATTGTAGGGCATATCAACAGAGGGCATGTCAATCCCCATAAATCTTTCTATCGATGCGTTTCCTTTCTTGGCGCTCTGAAAATCCGAGTCTGGACGAAACACTCCCAACAACCCTGTCTCATTCGGGGTGCTCCCTGCAGAACCGCCCAGCGAGCAGAATTAAAGGGAATTGAACCACTTTACAGATGCTACAAATCACTAGGGAGAAAATGGCCATCATACAGCCAGATGTTCCGTCTTCCCACTTTCTGAAGTTTTCTATCGTTCGAAACAAGCAAAAAGGAACGGGAAAACAAAGGAGGGTCACAATGGGAACTTATCTGAGCACCTGTAAAGGAAGGCAAGGCGATTGCAAAACACAACTTTTCAGGATGCCTCCTAACTTTCTGGGGAGGGGCAAACTGATGACCCTGGAAAGGAGCATAGTTGTCGGAGGTGGAACCCCGAACCCCTGGGAGTCTTCTGATCCTTCAGCAAGAAAGAGGCGAGCAGACGCGCTTAACGGCGCGCTAGGCGGAAAGGAGGGCGTGACGACGAAAGTCGAGAGGTGGAAAAGCGTTTCCTGCGCGCCGCCGGTGGCCGCCTACGACGCAGGTTCGGGGAGGAGGAGCGCAGGAAATTGCCCGGGGGTGGGGGGAGGAGAGGAGCGCTGCTTAGCTCAGCGTTTTCTTCATGTGACAGAATGAGGTCATAAGGAGGCGGGCCAAGCGGGGCGAGTGGCCGCGGAGGAGAGGTGAGTGCAAGGCAGGCTGCTCGGATTGGGGCCCAGGGGGCACCTCGAATCAGCGGGCCGGAAAAACAGCGTTTCTGCGATGGCGCAGGCGGGCTGAAGCCTGCTCCAAGCCTGGGGGGTGGCCGAGTGGTGCCTCTTGCCTCCGGCCCCTTTCCAGAGCGCGCGCTGGAGAAACTTCCTTCCCCCTTTGCTCCGCTTCCAGCTTCCATCTCTTCCTGGCGCCGATTAGAAATGAAGCGCGTGCCTTCTTCCCCCGGTGGTCTGCCCGGCCTCGTTCCCTTTGGCAGCCTCTATATCAGAAGGAATCTGGTAGCGCTTTTTCCAGATTAACCCGTTTTACTAAAAGGCGTGATCTTTCCTGACCCACAACTCATTTGGCTACCACACTCCCTCCGATGTTCAGGCCAACTCAGAAGATGTCAGCAAACTCAATGGGTGTTTAACACATTACAGTTGTTAATTGATAAGACGCTGGCAATCTGTTTCACATGTAACCTGCATAACCACCCTTTCTTCCCTCTTCCATCTTATCTCAGTTTAAATCCTGTCTCAGTTTACCCTGTCGGTGCATCTGATGAAGTGATCACAAACACTTACTACAATGTACAGTAGCAGTCTGAAAAAGTGCTACCAGACCCCTTCTGATTTTTGGCTACCATAACACAGCTTTCCTCCTACAATGTCAGCAACTTTTACAGTCAGTTTAATCAGACTCATTGCACAAAAGCACTTGCTGCTTTTCTAATCCATTCATTTATGAATGGAAGTGTGGTGTTTAACCCGTGCTGATGATATCTGTGAGGTCTGTATTTGCTGCAAAAGCCACAGAGGTGTGGGTGATGTGCTAAAAACTAGTGGATGTTTATGGCTTCAGTTGTCAGGGAGCACTGTCCATTTCATGTAATATATGAAGCGTGAACCTTAATTACAGGGAAGAGGAGGCAAATTGCAGAATATTCAGATTAAGTATGATAATTACATGATCGTGGCCATTCACAAAGACATTGGTGATAACTTATCCTAATTTGGCAGCACGTATACAGCCACGCCATGCAGTATTTCTGACACACCTCTGTGGTTGTACTTTGTTATAGCAGAACACTGAAAAGAGACTATAGCTGGTGAACTGAAAATGAAAAACAAAAAATTGGCTCTGGCCATTGGAGAACCAGCTCTTTTCATTTTAGTTTTTTTCTCTCCTCTCAAGCCAACATGGAATGTTTGTTCCAGCATGTTTCTCCTATTTTGGTGGGTGTTTGTGCATAGCATGACCCTGCCACCCAGCTATCTTTTACTTTAGTAAGAATGTTGAATTTTAAAAAAAATAATTTTAAAAACTTATTACAGAGAGATATATCATTTAGTGGGCCTGAGACTTGGTGGGATGATCTTTATGACTAGAATACAGCAGTTGAAAGATGCAACCTGTTCAAAAAGAGCAGGTGCAATAGAAAGTGAGATATTAAAATATCCATATCAGTACAGAAATCCAAATAAATTAGCTTAGTGATGCTGTTGCGAGTATTTTATTTTTGTGTTGGAGACAGCTGAAATATTTAACATTGGAAATTGTCAGGAGTCACCAGTTTCTTTGCTTCAGTTGTAAATGTATGAATCGGTTTTGCTTCAATTGCAAATTATAAATCATATTAGAGTCAATATGATTGAAGTAGCAAAAATGACTTGTAATAAATACTGTACATACATAGATTTTGAAGAAGGGCTGTATGATTTCCCTATAATGAGAAACCTTGAATCCCAAAACATTTTAGATTCATAAATCTTGCCTGGGTGAGATACACATTTCACAGATTGTAAGCAAAGAGATGAAAGAAGAAGCACGGATAACATTCTGCTGTTCTTGACCTTTTTCAGAACAATAAACTCATCTGTCAAGTATTTTGGGGAGAGAGAAGCTCCTAAATAGAAAAATGACTATCATTTTAAAAAACAGTGATGTTTAAATCTACATCAGTAGCCAAACCTGTCTTCATGTGTTGTTCAGCCTACAAGTGAAATGTGTAATCCGAGCTTTCTTCTAAAATTACAGGTTACAATGAAGCTTATAATTCTAGAGAATTATGCTCAGGCCAGTGAATGGGCCGCAAAGTACATTAGGAACAGAATAATCCAGTTTAATCCAGGACCAAATAAATATTTCACTCTTGGACTTCCCACTGGTAAGTTACAAACCCAAGTTCATAGGAGGTAAGCTTTGGAGTCATAATTTACTCTGATCTAATTCAGATGAAGGACTGTGCCTCAGGGTTATTATGATCAAGGCATCATTCTTTACACAGGATATTTGTCACAAATGATTATTAAATGACTAACTCTTTTTGAAGGCAGTTCTGTGTTCTCAAATATAGAAGAAAAAAAACTTACATGGAAATAATATATCAAGAGCTTGCAATTTTGTTTGAACACATGCACATTTGACTGGAATATGAATATAGCAGACCTTTATACACTTTATTCCCAGACTGCTTATATCTGCAATTTTGAAAATATATCATGAACATTTTCACAATTAGATGCTCATAGCAGGTCTGGCCAGTTATAAGATACTTTGCTAGGGGGCTGAGTAGACGTTGCATATTTTTTGACATTGAAGGTTGATGGATCACTAAACAGTAAAAAAAAAGAAAAAGATTAATGGATCACCTTCTTTCCTAATACAGTGTCCAGCCTCTGTATTAATAGTCCACACTATTTTCATCATCATAACAAAGATTGTATTGCTATAATGATAGATGGAATTAGATGCCTTGTTAATTTAATTTTTAACCCATTTTTCCCAACAACATCCCTTTGTTAACCACTCCCTTGACAAATTCTCTTATTCCTCCATAATATTTAATAATTTACTTCAAGACATAATCTTTGTTGCTGATGAGAAATAAAGGTGGAATGAAATGCATTCTTTTTCCAAAAACATGTGCCCACTTTTCCCAACAAGGACACTACGTTATGAGGCAAGGGAGAAACAACCTAATGTTCAAATTTTCCTTTTCCTTCCATAAAGTCTAATCATTCAATACTGGGCATTGACTGCTACTTCATTTCATTGGTTCCTGTTGATGGGAATGAAGGGCCCTGTGTTGATGTGTAATGTCAGATTAATAGAGTTCATTTCAACTAAAAAACAGGATGAGACTGTTTTTGTTAGGAAGCAACACTGGCCCTCTGTTTCTGGGTCACTGTGTCCTTTGCCACTACGTGTTATTTTAATTTATTCTGTTGAAGGATTGAATCCTACCTGCGTTTGGGTATCCTACTGCACTTGGGCATTTATCTTTTACATAGCACAGTAAAGAGATCAAGAGTAGCATGCAACTATTAGGTTAGCTCATTAGGCAGGTACACTGTTCCCAAATTCCTATCTAGTACATCATTCCATAGGAGATATAAAAAGAATTGTATTCAATTGTATATAGCAGTCCTTTGAAGAATGCTTCACCATTAGCAGCAGAAAATGTCACCAAGGAAAGGTGCACTGGCAGTGGATGCCAATGCAGTTTTGGAGACCTTGACCTTTCTGGGGGGGGGGTGAAATTCACCTGACGGAGCCATGGCTGAGCTGAAGAGTGTGTTTTGAGCCATTGTTTCTGTAGTCACATAAACCATTGCAGTTTTCAGTTAAATGCATGCTGCTTACCATTTGTGTAGTGCAACATTTGTTTTCATCGATCGGCTGTTGCTTTCTTTTCTCTCTAGGAAGTACACCATTAGGATGCTACCAAAAACTGATAGAATATTGTAAGAATGGAGATCTCTCTTTCAAATACGTGAAAACCTTCAATATGGATGAGTATGTAGGTGAGTCACCTTTATTTAAAGCTGTAGGGAGGTGTCATTTCTGTTTCTTGTCAACAAATTTTCTTTACTGCCTATAGATAAACACAGATTTATTTCTACATTGTAGTATGGTGACTCAGGATCTGAGCTATGAACCATAAGCTCTATGTCATCTTTTAGCAGCAACCCAGCTGAGCAGTAATAGCCAGCAAATCATTCTCTCTCAGCAAGTATACAGATGATAATACTGATCTATCGTAAATAATTGTGGTATAAATTGCTGTGATTATTTATAGTAAGTGATCTGAAACTATAAGCTGCTGAATATTTCTCCTTAAGAAATATTGTGAAAAACAATGGGCAGACAAATGATTATCCCATTGTAGTAGGAAAGAGTGAAGCAGTTTGAATGATTAACTCAGGCTAAGCAACCTGAAGTCCTTCAGGTGTCATAGACTGCAATTCAGCTCCATCCAACATGGCAACAATTGTGGACATTGTCATCCAAAACATCTAGAGTCTACCACTTTGCTCCTGAGAAAGGTGCTGGGCTCATCACTCTTTCTGACTCTACCATTTCCAGAGTCATGTGTAAGAAGAAGGCTGGTCTGGTACTTCTCTCTTTGCTTCTGATAAAAATTTTTGAGGGACAGCTTGGGAAAAAGCCTTGCTCCTCTTCTTCTCTTCTCCTGCCCAAATTGGTTCTGCTGCAATTTCTGAGGAGCAACTGCTCTTCATAGGATGCAACTACAATTATGCAAGCCAGGTTTTAGGGATTATAGAGTAGAAGTGTTTGGTTTATTTCTCAGGAATGGTATAGGGAAAACTTGTAGGAAGGAGTGCTGTATGCCACCTTGATCATGGTGGGAAATAGATTTCATTGTTATTGTTTTTATGTTCTGAGGTCTTAATATATTACTTAGTCTATTCTAAGGCATAATATTTGTTCATCTAGTTCTGGATTGTCAGTTCTGGCTAGCAGCAGCTCTCTAGGAGCTCAGGAAGTTATATTTCCCAGCTTGTGCTACCAAATCACTTCTAACTGGGGTTGCCAGTGACGAAACCTAGAACCTTCTGCCTATAGAACAGGTCGTTTTCCTACTGCGTTATAGCTGTTGTAAGCTGTCCTTTCAGTATTATGGATGGAAAGATGAGACATCAATAAATGAACTAAAAGCAATCACATGCTAACACACTGTTCGGTCAGGTCTTCCAAGGGAACATCCAGAGAGTTACCATTCCTTCATGTGGAATAACTTCTTCAAGCATATTGACATCTCTGCTGAAAACACTCACATTCTGGATGGGAATGCAGCTAACCTGCAGGCAGAGTGTGAGGCATTTGAAGACAAAATAAAAGAGGCTGGAGGAATAGAACTCTTTGTTGGGGGTGAGTATTTAAAGGCATTGGAAGCAGGAGTGAGGTTGCAAGGGAGGGTGCTCAGTAGTAAAACACAGTTATGCAAGAGCAAAGTACAGTTGCTGTCCTAAGGGTGGTTATCTGGGAGTGTCCAGTCTGAAACCAAATCTGTTGAATAACATAGATTGATTGGGCTGGTTGCAGTCTGGCCTTGAAGTTTTATAGTCCATACAGTACTTCAAGAGCAATGGGTTTAAAAAATAAAAATACAATGAGGGGGACTACAATTCAGACAACCATACACCAGGTTTTTTTTAAAAAATGAACAAATGTATAAACAAGATGAGTTGGAAATAAACTGGACCCGATTCAAAGGGATATGCAGGTTCAACCAAATCAGACCATAATACTGATATAATCTGTGGGAGGATTTCTCACATAAATTGTTGTAGTAGTTGTAGTGTTGTACTGGCATCAGGGAGATCCATCTGAAAGTTCACCCCTGGCCCTGGAGGTTCACTGGTTGACTCTCAGCCCAACCTGCTTCTCAAGGTTGTTATTGTGGGAAAAAGTAAGAGAAAAGGGGGTAAGTACTCTGTATACTGCCTTGACCTCCAGAATAAAAGGCAAGATGTAAAACTAAGAAACAGTAAATGAGATGTTATTTGGCACCAGGGAAGATGGAGAATTTTTTATGGCCAAGAGACTGAGCTTAAATGAGGCAGCAAGCTGGCATATTTGATGGGGGTAGAAAAGTCCCATTGTGAATCTTATTGGGGGTCAGTTGAATATCTGGAAAGATATGATCTGTGATTATGAGCTTAACACCAAATTGGAAATCCATTTGTCTGGAAGAAACATTTATTGATCAATTAAAGGCTTAGCTGAAGATTGCTAGAGCAGCCAGGGCTATTCGATCTGCATCGTCATTATTTCTACTTGCCTTGAAAATAGTTCTAATCCTCTTTCCAATAATTTTGCTAATTCTTACAAGAGAATGTTCTTGCTCCAGATATTTGGCAGCATGTAAACTTTTAGACAAGTACTGTCTGATCTAAAGAAACATTCACAACTACCTCTTTGAGCAATGCATTTATTCTCAAGTACTTAATCCTAAATCTTATTCTTATCTGTTTACCAACTATCAATCTGTTATAATAACTTCAACCATTTCCCCTACAGGTATCGGTCCAGATGGTCATATTGCCTTCAATGAACCAGGGTCAAGCCTGGTATCCAGAACTAGAGTGAAGACATTAGCTATGGACACAATATTGGCTAATGCTAGATTCTTTGAAGGTGATCTTTCCAAAGTGCCCACAATGGCTCTCACAGTTGGAGTGGGTACAGTCATGGATGCCAGAGAGGTTAGAAGCATAATAGCTACTCATACAAGAGAGGCAGAAGGGGATATGGAACAAGCTGTTTGTCTGAAGAGAGGAATTCTAGGTTATTCAGTAGTATAGAATATTGGACTGGGAAGGGGACATTTAGGCCATCAAGTCCAATTCCTTCTCAGAGCGTGAATCTAAATTAAAGTATCCCCAATAGTTCACTGTGTAGCCCAACTTGAGTAGATCCAGCAAAGTGGAGCCCATTTCAGTAATTGGCTATAATATCACACTGCTCATACTAGGAAGTTTTTCTTACATTTTCAACCACAACCTGCCTTCCTAAAACTGGAATCCTTAATTTTTTCTCTTCCTACATTCTTTGAAAATGGAGAATCTTTACCTTCTGTGTGATTTCAAGTATTTGAAGAATGCTATTGTATCTCCCCATGGTCATCTTCTCAAGGCCCACATTTCCATTTCCTTTCATCTTTCTACGTAGGACTTAGTTTCGAATGTCCTGATAATCCTCACTGCTCTTTGAATCTGTTGCAGTTTATCTGAATATGGGTTGATGCTTAATATGGGATTTATTTATTTGAAAATAAAGCCATGCTCTTTCCTACTCAGCTTCACTTTCTGTAGTATAATTGTATGTCAGCATTGAGCATGATGCACAATTTAGACAGGGAACCTCCTTCAGGCCCCTTTTTCTGACATACAACACATCTGCAGTGTAGAATACAAACTGGCCATATGCATAGTCATGAATATAAATGAAATGTTTTTCTGATACTCCCAAAGTTATTTGTTCTTGTTTGTTTTATTGCAAGTTTTGTTTTCTGTTGCATACTAAATAAAAGTTAAATCTATGGAAGATAACAAACTTACCAGTCATATAGTATCTGACTAGAACACAAAGCCTTTGAATGAAATTTTAGCTGTTTTACTATTCCAAATAAAAAGCTAAGTATATAAAATATTAATTATAGTATATGAAGCTATTGTGTATAGCCAATAAATACACTAACAAAACTTTTTTGAAACTTTGTAAATAAAGCAGATATTTTGCAGACCTCTTAAACTCAAATTTCAGAACTTAAATTTCTGAAATCATTGCTTATAGCACAATGCATTATCATTGTTAGGTGAGAGCAAGGGAACCGATACTCATCCTGATTTTTTCTTTATGCTTTCCATTTTTGCTAAACTGATTGGCTGTAGTTGGTTCAGTAAATCTGTCAGGCAAATCCACACGCTTCTAGTTCACCAGTTTTTATTGGTCCATTTGTTCTTGCATACTAACACAAGTCTCTTGGGGAAATATCTTCTGCTTAAAAGACACAGAATTTGTGGAATTCATAAATGAGTTGCTAATAGAACTACAGAATATAAACTGAAATAAATAAAAGCAAGCTTTTACAAGTATGTTATAAATTATGGAGCTCTGCTTTTTAGTTTTTGATTTTCATATGAATCTTTTTCAGGTTCTCTATAAAGTATAAGTCTAGAGAGCTGCAATGGTTACAGCTTCTTCTCCCTTTTATTCTCTTGAAAAAGTTCTCAGATGTTGGTAAAACATCATTGGATGTTTATAACTTAGTTCTTTTTGCAGAATGTTAGTGTTCTAGACCATCTATTCCTCCTTTCTCCCAACCTGAAATATAATACATAGTTGAGAATAGAAAGGAAAGTTTAGTATTTATGATGCTTGTCATCAAAAGCCTAATTGTGCTTCCTGTACGTTTTGTCATTCAGGTTATGATTCTGATCACAGGAGCCCATAAAGCATTTGCATTATACAAAGCAATTGAAGAAGGAGTGAACCACATGTGGACTGTTTCTGCCTTTCAGCAACATCCACGAACTGTCTTTATATGCGATGATGATGCTACTTTGGAACTTAAAGTGAAAACTGTGAAGTATTTTCAAGGTAGGTAGTTGTACAGAACTGAGAAATAACCTATAAATGTTGTCTAGAATATAAAGAGGCGTTAATGCAGCAGTGCTGTTTGGCAATTCAGATCTACAAACCATGTTGCAAAAATCCTCTATTAAGCTGGTACCTGTCTTGACCACAGTTAAAATGTTATATAAGGAGCTGCAAATTTGATTTGGGACTGTCATTCTTTAAATACCAAGAGTATCTTGGGAGATTTTAACTTGTAAAGCAAATTTATTGGTTTCTCCACTATTTCTTAGCATCAGAGGTATTTCCTTATTTAATAGCTCCTCATAAGTCTTGTTGCTTTTGGCTTGTTTAGATGATCACTTTCAGTATTGTCCCTTCATCTTATCGTTTTCAGAAATATGGTTCTTTAGGCATTTTCTCAACGTTGTTGTTTTTGCCATTCTAAGTGAGTTATTTGCATCTCTCATTCACCCACACCCACTAAGCATCTCTTCTCTTTAAATTTGCTTGAGCCAGAATCCAGTTGATGGGAACCTTTAAATAGATGAAGAGTAAGGAAAAACAGCACCAAGGACTTAGGACAGACTAAATTAAATCTATAGAAAAGGAACAAGGGGTTATTTGTGCTGCCTCTCTAGTATTGTGCTGTTTAACAATGCCAGTATAGATGTTGGTGAAAGTCCCGCTGAGCCATCCCAATCATCATCTTGTATCCAGCAATGAACAGCTAGATATCTGGAGGAAGTTAAGGTACCATGATACCAGCTTTCTAAAACTATTGCTGGCTTCACCTACCATGCTAAGCTACTGCCTTTCTATGAGCCAGCACACTGACAATTCTCTTTACTGTTAATGAAGAAGCTTGCAGGTGGCTGTTTATAAAACTGTTTCCTGAATCTTTATCAGCCTAGGAACGGACATATAAAACACTTCTATCTTCAAGTCCCACTTCACTTCATTCTGCTGCTTGCAGTGGTGTGTGTGTATGTGTGCATTCATATTCATACATCAAACACTTTTGAATGCTAAACTATGGATGTGAGGCTAAATGTCTCAGAATATTTTTGTTAGATTCATATCTTGCCTTTTCCCCCCAAGAGTTCAAAGTAGCTGTCATAGTGATCTCCCCTTATTTTATTCCCCAAATAGAAACCCTGCAAGATAGGCTGGGCTGGGAGAGAGCAGCAGGCCTAAAGTCATCCAGAGAGTTTCCATGACTGAGAGCGTTGTTGAACTTGAGTCTATCTAGTCCTAGTCTCACGTCTTATCCACTCATCCACGTTGGTGCTTATCTTAGAACATAAGGATTGTCTTTTCCTACTCTACATACAACATCCAAAAATATTAAAAGAAAAAGATTAAAGAAAAAGATTAAAAGAAAAAGATTAAAGAAAAAGATTAAAAGAAAAAGATTAAAGAAAAATATTAAAAGAAAAAGAAAAATACATCTAAAAATATTAAAAGAAAAAGAAGAAACAGAGGATATTGTAGTGATGCCAGTCTGCATTCACAAGGAAAACAGCTGGCTTTCTGGCCTGGAAACAGACATCCTTTTGTGTCAAAACAGAATCAACATTGGGGAAGGCACATAACACAAAGGCAGATGCCCTAGCCTCTCCCTTTCCAGAATGGGGAAAAGCTTTGTTTTTTAAAATGAAAGTCAGAACGCTGGGAAAACAGAGAAATTGCTGTGCCTGACTTGGCTGTACTATCTCCCCAAAGTGCTACTTTTTAAGAAAAAAAGTTTTGCTTTTACTAATTGAGTACAAAAAATAAAGAGGAGAAAAAGTAAGCAATACACAGAGAAGTAAAAAAGGAAAGAAGAATACACATTCACAGATACATATCCCTATGCTTTGAAATCCAGGTTATATCGAAGCAATAGAGAGAGACAAAAGCTGTGTTAAATTTTTGGGGCTCTCTGTGTTTCAGTCCAGTGTTCTTTATATCTCTGTACAAGCTCAGTGACTGCATATACTTCAGTTTTGTATGCATATATCAACTTGAATGTGAAGGTACTAATTTTTCTAATCTCTTGACATAATTTTTTCATGAGGAATTTTTAGTGCTTGATAAATCTTGAAGCCTGTGAGCCCTGTAACAGATGAGTGCTGTTTTGTGGGTTTCTGAATTGGTTGTATATTTATACGGTTAAGATTTTAACTTTTAAAGTGATTTTATATTTTGGGGGGGGGACTTGTTTATTAAAGTTTGATTTTTCTATGTCTTGTTAGATTGTTCTATGTCTGGAATCTCTAATCACATGTCTCTATTCTCTATAAGTGGTGCTGTAGCAACAATCTCATTATTTCATTTTTCTATGCCAGAAAAATAGCCAGGTGTGGGAATCCCCCTTTCCCAGTGCACACCCATGCATATATACACACAAAGTTAAGGGGTAGGATGCTAGGTAAGACAACCTGTTGGAAGATGGATGGTGGCAGTGGGAACTATCAAGGTGCTACTGGTATCCAAGTACATTAGGCAGGGTAGTATGAGACCCAGAGGGTTTCTGGGAGACAAAGTTTGAGATCTCTAGCCCACTACCCCACAGGTTCAACTGTGCTTGGTACAGGTGTAAGTTATCATGTGACATTTACATTAGAACTGAGTTATTTTTATGTTTCATTAAAACAGGGTTGATGCTTGTTCACAACAAACTAGTGGAACCACTCTACAGTATGAAAGAAGTTGGAGCAGAAAGTCAGTCTGAAAAACCCTACAGCGACTAGCCTCTTGGGAGCCTAAGTAATTGGCTAAGTAGATCTTTCTGTTACCATTACAAGAAGTTGGTGGACAGCAGCCTTTCAATATGCAAAATACAGTATTGGACTCGAATTATTGGAAAGCATCCTTTTTTTCCTCCAGGTGAGGTAGTAGGAGTGGATACAGCTGCATCAAGCATTTTCAAGCATTTCAGGACTAATTAGCATCAGTTTCCCACTGTTTTAAGAACTTAGACCAAACGAAGTAACAGCAACTCCATTTTCTTAATAAATGAGTCTAAGGGTTGCTGGAATGGATAATCTAGAATCTTAGATTATATATAGAAATGAAATCTACAGACTCTGAACTTTTCATTAATTTTTGTATATTAAAAGTATAAATGTTTGTAAACAAATTGGGGTATATTTATTCTTTAAGAGTTGGAAACATGGAGTTGGATTTCATGAGAATGTCGTTTTTCAGGAACTGAAAAAATCACAAGAGCTTTTTCAGATAATCTGCTATGCCTCAACTCCTAATGTGGAAATATCAGAGTTCTCCAAAGTGGTACAATTATGTACTGTGAGGAACCGTTCCACTCTTGGTTCTTGTTCTCCATTATTACCCAAGTCACCTTTTCCCAACCTGATGTCCTTTTGCTAGGAATTCTGTGTATTGCAATTCAACCTGGAAGATACTAAGGTAGGGAAAGCCAATGCAGAGCTTCTAAGAGTGCAGAAAAAACATACTACTCTCTTCCTTCTCTATTCCCTAATTGGCCTGCAGAAGACTTCTTGGCATTTATGCCTGCTCTTTAAAAGTTTTCCATTGGCTTCCAGTTGGTAGGAGGAGCCTGAAATGCTAACTTTCACCTATAAAAACTCTAGGTAGGAACATCATATTTCCAACTTCTATACCTAAGCATAGATTTCATGCTTAACACATTGCAGATAGGAAGAGCAGACATCCTCATGTCAGCTTAGCCTATTTCTTCCTGATCTTCTCTGGGCAGGCATTTTTTGCAAATTTGAATGGAGCAAATAATTTATTAATCAGAGAGATGATCAAATAATGAGTTCTTTCACGGACTGACCTGCCAACAGTACTATTTTGTGGAAACTGAAGGATGGATACAAAATGACTGTTATGGCTAAAGGCAGCCATTTGCACTTATCTATTTCTCAGACAAACTAGCAAGGCCAGAAGACCAGTAATTTGTCCACAAATAAGATAGGGTACTATAGAAACTTCAAAGTACAGACCTTTTATTTGAACCTACCATCATCTCTTTCATTGAATCTCACCCTTTAAACTCCATTCTCCATCCATGTCATAACAATCAGTGCCTAAGAGAATCTCAGGCAGCATCTTATCCATGCTAGCAGGACAAAGAGTTAAAAATTTCTGGATCTGAAGAAATCACATGTTTTACTATACACTTTGCTCCCTGGACAAGGATAACAAACAAATTGGTTATATTCCACTGCTTTCTACTGTTCTTGGATCAGTTTTAGTGATAACGGTGCTAGCTAAAAGAGAAGCACATGGTGAAATTTTAATGTGCTAATGTTCAGTGCTCTTGAAAATTAAAAGATCTTACATCACACCCATGAAATTAGTGGCAACAAACAAAAGCAGTTTTCTAGATACTCTGATAATCAACAATCAAAAGTATCTTGAGCATGCATGATACAGCTTCATTCATTTCTTTAGCTTTTGATACTGGCTAGAGGCTAATCATCCTCATCCCAGAAGTAATGATCATTTTGCATAGTCTGAAATAGCCTGAAAGACAAGAAAATTGAGTTATAAACAAGAAAATATTTTACCAACATGGTAACAACTCATGCATATATTTCTGTTGAGAGCCTCCATCCAAAAGAGTAGCAGAATCACATAGCAAAACGAAGAAAGTTCGTTTTCAAAACTGGATTTCTTCACAACTAAGCAGTTTTGCAATGTTACTTTATTTGTAACATCAGAAATTACTACTGAATGTGTTAAAAAAAAAAACAACAGTGCTCCTCTCCGCTTTCAGTAAAGATAACAATAATCTTACTAGTACCCAGGCAATGACTTATCCAAAAAATGGTAACATTAAATGATCTGGAGTAGTGGTCCCATGGAAAAACTGACTTCTCAAGGCATGACCAGTACTTCTACAGACACTTAGTATACTTTTATTGTTTGTAACAGCAGGGACACTTTTGGACTTCCTCTTTCTGAAAACAATGGTTCTCTTTTAAAGTTAAATATGTACAATATACTTTTTATTGTTATTTTCTAGTAAGCACTGATATTGGATATCTTTTGCATTGCATTTTTCCTACTTCTGACATAATGCAAAATGTAATCATAAAGAGAGCTAATTTACAGCTCTAGGGCAAATTGGAATAATCACAGTTTCTAGCAGTAGTTAATGTAAACATCTGCCATATCCTCCCACATTCATGAATTCAGTATCAGCCCACACTTCTCTTTCTTTTCTGCCCATTTCCTATTTTGTGCACTACTTATGCAGATAAAGAATTCTAAGGACCCAGGGGTGTTCGCAGAGCTGTCAACAACATTGAAATGGAAGATGTGACTGAATGATCAATGCTCTGCTGCTTTTTACATGTGTGTATGTGTGTGATGCATGCAACAACACATGTTAAAAAAGTATAGGGCTCTAAGTGCCTGGTGGCACCATTGTGATGTTGTTGACAGCCCCTATGGAAATTCCTGTGCGGAACTCAACATTTTCCAAACTATTTTCTGACATTTTGATTTAGCCAGCTTACTAAAGCTATGGAATTTGGGATCTGCTTCTGCTTTTGGCACAAGTTTAAACATTGCAGTACTAGTATTTAAAATTAAATATTAAATTTTGCTAGAAAATCTGTTGTGATGCTAATGAAAGTATATTTTATTCTGCATTAAGCTAAGCCATGGTTTAATCATGGTTAAGTTAGCTGTGTTTAAGTAAGTATAGCCAAGCAAATCACATTATAGATTAGTATAATGTGTGAATCCAGTCTTGATTAATATACTATTTTTCAATAACAAGTCCTATATCAAATTTCAAACCAGTCAAAATAGTTTTAATGATTTTGAACTTTTCATTGTCATAGCCTCTTGCTGATAAAAGGGAGCTCCATGCACATCTCGAAAGTTTTTGTGATATACACAATAGCCCAGCAAACACTTTAACCAGAATGTACAATAAGCTCCAGACTTAATAGCATTCAGTTTATTAACCTACTGCAGTATTTATCAAACTTGGCAACTTTTAAGATGTGTGGATTTCCACACATCTTGACTTCCAGAGAGGCAATAGTGAACTGAAGATGGCTTTGCTTTTAGCAGAGCCAACAACTGCAGCAGAATGAGGAATTGGTGAACAGATCGGCACCTCAAAACTCCTTCCTGGACCTGGGATTGCCCATAAGGCTCCATACAGATGCTCCCCATGATGAGACTGTAAAACAGCAGTCTCCAGTGGGTTTTAGAGCTCTGGGAGCTGGGAGAGTTGGCTTTGCCCAAGTCGCAGTTCAGAGCCTTCAAAGGGACACTGGGTTTGCCCACTTCCTCTCTTAATCACTTCTGGAAATGGCTTGTAAATTGCTTTTTGGATACTACGAACCTTCAGAAGGACAAGTTTCATTTCACTGGGTGATTCTCCTTCAGTCCTCAACAAAAGAAGTTTCATGTAAGTTTAAGAACTTAAAGAAAAAAATATTTGGAAATAAGCAGCAAAAGGGTGATTAAAATGTTGATTTTGGAAAGTTATAAACAGACCAAGAGGCTAGATTGACTGGAAATAAGATTTTGAAACTAATTAAAAGAATCCTTGTCGTTTGTTTAAAATCCTTTTTAAAATACATGAAGACCTTGAAGTTAAGTGTAAGAAAACTTTCACAACATGAGAAAATGTGGACTAGAGAAAAACATGATAAGAGGAGACCTTGAAGGCTGGTTACTAGAAGCAACCAGAAAGAACTAAAGATTATAATTAAAGGAGAAGACCGACCAATACAGAATGGAGAAAAGTATTTTAACTCTGGAAGAATTCAAGAATATTTGGCAACAGTGTACTCAGAACTTTCTCTTAAGTTTGACTGCTACTATAAAAATGGGTTTAAAAGAGGATACAACCAAGAATCAGGCTGTTTTTGATATGGATTTAAAACTGACAGGATACAAGAAAGATATTGACAAAGATGCTACACAGGACTTACAAATGAAACTGGCTGATGTTTTAATAGCTAACAGGGACACACAAATAATAAATCAAAAGAGTGAATGATAAGACGTTATTATAATAGATAAAAGATGAGATATAGGACGAAGAGATTTTTGGTTGAAATGTTAGAGAAGGTGTAAGTTACTGAAATTGTTTGTACTTCCCTTGATGAAGGGGGAAGTCATTTCCTCATGTATCTTTTTTTCCTCCCCCTTTTTTTCCCCCTTCTCTCTGCACTTTTTATTTTTTCTTCTTTTTTATCTTTTTCTTAATTTGTATTAGTTTTTTATCTTTGTATTTTTAAACTTCAATAAAATTATTATTAAAAAAAAAGAAGTTCACACATCTTAAAGTTGCTAAGTTTGAAAAACACTGACCTACTGTTTTGCTTATTTTGTAGTAAGAGGTCCCAAAGTCTTCTAGAGTGCAATCTGGTTAACCCATGTAAATCACACCAATACTGAAACTACACTTTTTCTTTCAGTAGCATGAAAGGTTACCTACCGGTTAAAGCATGGTGAGGCTGGATCATTAAAGTGCCGGTATGGATTTGCCCTTGATAAAGAACCCATACAAAGCCAACAGAAATACTGCATGCAAGCAGTACATGTCATCTTGTTACAGCCATCTAATTTCTGACAAAGGAGAAGGGGGAAAAAAAGACAATTTGACATGAAATCTGCATTACAGATATATTGTACTTGCTAAAAGACAAAAGATCTAAAGGCTATTCCCTTGCACTATCTACAATTCGGTATTCCTAACACTACATTAACTAATGAAACCCTGCAGTAGCAAATACTGTCTGACTACTACAGGAAAGAGAATTCTGCCTGCTTCTCTAAATAGCTCAAGCACTAGATTGGATTTTTATATGCAGTGCTTCATCACATTACCCAAGCTGAGCCTCAGAAACAATCCTTAAAAAAAATCCTTCATTGTCAACAGTCCTCTGTCCTTAGTCCCTAGGAAGGCATATCAGCTGAAGTTACATAAACTGATAGAGGAGCTTATGGATGTGCAGGAACAAATCTTGATCAAGAGATCCAGGAATGTCTAAGCATCTCCTATCTATTAACCAAAATGCAAAAAACACAATCCACAGCACTCCATGGCTTGGATACTTCATTATTATCACAAGGAACCTGATTCTAATAATTATGTCCTTATAGATGATGACCTTTAGGTAGGAGAAGAACCTGAAACTTCATATCAGTGGTGCTGCCACTGGTGTGCTCCATGTGTTCCGTGACTTATCAACATTTACATGAACAGTTTTCTTAGCTACTGTCCCTCTTGCACTGGAATTATTTTATGCTCTAGACTTGCAGGAGGCACTTGGGAAACTCCACTAGGAGTTGAACGAAGGGCTTAGAGACACCCCCCAAATGTTCATCCACTAACCCTGATGCCAATTCTGTTCTTGTATCTAGTCAACATTACAGAAGATACTAATATCAAATACAATATCAATGATTCATTCAGCCTCTCTACTTTCAAAATAATTCATGCCGGCATCTACCGCAATGCCACTCTGCGTTTTACATTAGGACAAGCAGTTCAGCATCTACTGTGCAATAAATGTCAGATATTTTTATTTTTTATCATTTGTATTAATCATTTTTTTAAAAAAGAGAAAACAAACCCCCCCAAAAAAGGGAGGGAGGGAGGGAGGGAGGGAGGGAGGAAGGAAGGAAGGAAGGAAGGAAGGAA